AGGAGGTTTGTTATAATTAGATCATTGGGGAAATGTATTTTCTCTGTGTTATTATTATTGTAAATCAATTTTCTACTTGGAATATCGATTGTGGCATCGATTTTATTTAGGAAATTCATTGAAATAAAAAGATCGCTCTCTAAGTTATCAATTTCATAAAATCGGTCCTGAATATCAAACAGATTAAATTTATGAAAGACGTGAATGATGGTCGAACCGTTAATGGTTCTTCCCTCTTCATAATTGCTAAAACATTTTTGTTTTTATAGATTCCCGCCCGTATATATGAGCTACTTGCTCCAGTATCTATTAGTATTCTTAAGATTTACCCAGTTTGTATATATTTTTCCGCAAGATAGGGCAAATCAAAATTTTCCCTAAAAAATGGTTCACATTTATATTGTTTATCTTTGCCACTTTGGCTGAGCTTGCATGCTTCTTTGTATTTTTCTTGTATTCTCTTTGGTACGTTATTTTGTGGATAATTGGTTTGCCAATTATTTCTAATATTTTGCTTGCGGGTTGCTTCGTGAATCGAATTCATAATTATTTTTTGAGCAAAATGTGCTCGCATTTGATTCGAATGCAGTTCTTGCGCTTTAGAAAGAGCATTTGGTAATTCTGTAGGTGTTGAAGTGAAAAGTGTTTAGTTTAGTGGATAGTTTAAACCAGTTATGAAAGTTCTTGAAGCAGTTCCACGGTTCTTGATATTGATTGTTTTGTAATTTCAGAATTTGTCCCGTACGTCATTATTGTCTTGTTTCTTAGTAAAGTCAATTAAGGATTTTGATCCTTGTCGCAAAACGCTTATTTCCTGAGCAATTACGTGATTTGGTATTAATCTTATTTGGATTAGTACTGTCCCGTGGTTCGTCAGAATATCATTTGCATCTCCTACAACTTTATTTTGTAGAGTTGTCAGTATACCAAAATATCGTATACTGCTTTCTATATTAAGTGTCATTGAATTTTTTTGCAGATTTCGTCGAGCTGACGTAAGATTTACCAGAAAATTCTGGCAAAGATTTGACAATATCTGAGCTTTCGTTGCAAGTTATACAGTTATTTACTGTTTGAGTTTCGTATTCTGTCATCTGTGTAGAATTTGTCAATGTACCATTCTAACTTGGTTCGTTAATTGAGCTATTTCAGATCGTAAGTTAGCCGTTTGGGCAGCTACTAATCCAGCTATGTTCTCTGGGGAGAAATTACCAACTGACATTTATTATTTCTTCCACTTCAAGTTTTTTATACCATTTCATATCAGTTTTTTTTTAAATACCAGCACTTGTAAGTTTCTTGCGTATCAGATTTATAATACTCACAGTACATAAGCTTACAATATTTTATATTTCTGCTTAGTATATTTTGCTTTTTACGCAGCACAAGTTGTAAACGTTACGAAGGTAAACACACGCTCGAATTTTTATTTTATAGGTCCACCAGAGGTTTAATGCTCCTGACAGAATGGCCAGTTAATTTACCGGCGTTGACCGGAAAGTTTTTAAAAACGATCAAATGGAATATGATCAGAAACTAATTTGATATCTCTTTATATACCTTTTTTTTATACTCTTTTCTCTTATTTACTTAAAGCGTCAATTACATTTCAAGCTTATTCTACATAAACATTATTCTCTTATCTACCTAAAGTGTCAATTACATTTTTAGCTTATTGAACATATTCCAGAACAACGTTAAGCGTTCTTCTTTGTTATGATTACTATACTTATGCCTTTTTGTGAAGGTCAACATAAAGTTTGTTTACTTAATAGCTAAGTGGTTTCTGATATTGGTGGTGTTAACTAACTTACATACATAAATGTCGATAATAATTCGATTGCTGTTATTTTCTTTTTGCCTTTGCTTATACCTATGTTATAAGCGATCCTGCTTGTTGCTTTATTGGCCGAAGGGACTTTCCCTATCCCTGCAAGTCGACAAACTTCACTTATATAATTTTTTTTTTGTATTTTGTATTGTGGTGTGTTTGGAGACACGAATTAAGCAGGCAGGTATTTACACAACAGTAATTTTTTTTGTAACTTTTAAATTCAGTTAATTTATGTACATATGTACAGACTATGTATGCATATTGGAAAGAATGTTATTTGCGACTAATATGTCTCGCCGCAAAGTTTAAAAGCCCAAAATATTTTTTGTATTTAGATCATAGGAATATGTATGCACATATGTATGTACAATGCACCTGCTCTCACAGGTGTGTTTAAATTGACAAACACATAGCTATGGTTTCCTCAGTTCGCAAATGCGTTCCCCATTAACCTATAGCTTCTGAATCAGGATAAACTCAGGCTTTTCTGTCGTCACGCGTTTAATTAAATAGAACTAAAGTTATTTTGCTATGATGGAGATTAATTTGAAGTAGACACAATAACTCTAATATTATTATCAGAAGTTCTCTTACAGTATGTAATTTAAAGAGTCGATCTACGGGCTCAGACCTTGCTCAATGATTTTTACGTCACTCGAGGACTCCATGGGATCTTCCTTGACTTCACCCATATCATTTTCGAAGTTAGGTTATGATATTTATGATCTTTAACTTCGTGGATCCATAGTTGATCTCGCCTCCACTTTTCGCCAGCATTTCTATTGATTCCTTTGTTAATGGCAGAAGGATCTGCATCGTGGCATTATGACATTAAAAGACATATGTTATATGCCTTGTTTTGAATGTATACATATATTGTACATATACAAACATTAAGCATAAACACAGAAAATATTTAAAGCACCCTCATTTAATTGTAGGTTATGAGCGTTTAACTAATAAGAAACAGCTAAGTTCAAGTGCAATAGAAATATAGTGATGCAATTTGCAACGTTCCAAGTCAAAATATTTTAGGCTATCGGTAAAACTTTAAGTAAATAAGTATTTGAGGGCTGATTTCGGGAATAACCGACTAATTTATACTCTGGTAATGTGAAAGGATCAAATAAATACTTTCAGGTATTGCCAAACTGCATTATTCGACGAAACCGTGAACAATCATATTTGGCATTTTATTAACTTATAATACATGCCATATACTTACGTACTATACGTACTTTATTTTACTTCGTGTCCAAAATATTTATATTAACACCAACCAAATTAAACAGAAAAGTAGCTAAATTTAATATAATATATTTGATACACATATTTATGAGGAAGAAGTCCACCACAGAATGAAAATTATTAGGGATAAGGGATAAATGAATATTCAGGGAGATCGCGTTATATTTAAGAAAAAATATTCATTAAATTTCATAAATGCATATTAACCAACATAAACGGTTTAAAGTCAGCTATAAAGTCGGAAATCACTATGACAGGAATATTGCAGCTAGGAGAGGTCTGGACTGGAATGTTTGGTATTTCGTCTACCGATTTTTCGGGTCTAAGCTTTTGTATATAAGATTTACAAGTTTACCTAATTTCGTTAAGATATATGGCATATTAATCGATATATACGGTATAAAATAAATAGGAAGTTAGAAAATATTATAATATATTAGGTGTATATGTAAGGAAGTAGGGGTACTATTGAACAGATATTATTGCCAGAAAAAATGTTCTCTGACTTTAATTAAGATACCTCGCAGATTCGCTGATATTTATTATATAAAGTCTAATGGAAGTTTAAAACTCCCTATATTAGGTACATAGGAGCTAGGCGTAGAACTCCCCCGTTTTTATCAATTTTAGATAAACAGGCACACTGTTATCAAAAAGGAACACTCTATAAAGTTCTTTAAGAAAACGCACTTTTGGCCGTTATATACGGTATAAAGTCGACAGGTAGTTCGAAAATCTTTATAAAAGTTATATGTGGGAATTATAAGCGAGATTTTACATATTTTTAACACAATGCACATTATTACCAGGAAAAGAATTCCAAAAATATATCTCACAAAAAAGGTTCAGCCTTAGGTCCTGAAGTGAAGATGTGAAAGCATCAAATCAAATTTAAAATTGTGATACAAGTATATGGGAAGTAGACGTGATTGTAGTCCAACTGCAGTTCACCACCTTCAGTTTTGCGTTTTCCCATAGGTTTGGGAGTATTTTAAATCTTCCTTCACTCATGTCGGCGACGGGTCGTCCTTGCCTTCCACGATTTTGACTCCGCTTAATCATCCTGCTAGATCCGAAGCACTGCACCAATTGCATATAGCGAAATGTGCCCGCCCGTTTTTCACCTCCTTTCTGGCCAACCGTTTCACCTTCTCTTCCTTTAGTTTGGACTTGTCCTCGAAACGGGCACATATCCCGACTACCGCCTTGTATCCTCCGCCTCCTTGTTTGGTTTCTTCCGGGGCCCTCTCTGGTTGCCAGAGTTGGTCTGTGGCACCCGTGCGCTGTAGAGCTGGCTTGTCAGTTGTACTACAACCACCTCAACCTGTTCCAGTTACATTGGAGGTGTGGCTGCTGGGGACACAGCTCGTCAAAACACTGTGCCCGCCGTTGGGTGCAGCCACGTATTCCACTGGAGTTTGGACTGATATCCCAGCCCACTTTGCCTCTTGGTTTTTTATTCATATTGCGTTTTATTCACATTGCCCAAATGACATCCGCGCAGGGGATAAAGCTAAGGGAATTTTTGCTGACAATCTATACATAAGTTAATAAGATAATTAATCAGATATCAAATTTGATTGTAATCATTCGGTTTCTTCGAATGTTGAATTGTTATGCTAAATTTATAAGTAAACAAAAACTCATGGCAAGTACATACACATTTTCTGTAGCCGATGTACCTACTGTGTGTTTGCTCTTTATTTATATTATATTTTTTTCTTGTGCTTTACAATTTTGAGCGTTGCTTATTGAGAATGATAAAAAATTTGGTTTTGTTTTGTGTATGCTGAACACATTTTCAAATTTTACTATTCCTTTTAGAGAAGTAGTAGTAGATATGTGTACTATCGATCAAATATTTTTTGTTTAAATCAAATAATTAATTTTTAAATAAATTATTAATAGAAGACGGAGATAACCAATTCACTACTACACTTGTAAAGCTTATTTTTTAAATTAAAAATTCTGTCGTAAGAATAGGAACATTCATCACACATTTTTTTTCAATGCGTAAGAAAGAGACGCATATAAAGCTATATGATTTTTCTTCAACAATGGCTGGCATTATTTGGAAAAAAAATTTTGAGGTAAACGATTTTTGTAATTTATTTTTTAAATACGTTTACAATATTATATTATTTTGTTTCTTAGCATCAAAAGGCGTTTGAAAAAAGCGTAAGTACTTGAACTTTATGTTAATTCTATCAATTCTTAAGAAATATAATTCCAGATAGAAATTTTGTTAATATGTTTAAAGATAACAGTATGTTAATGCCTGGTGTTTAATATATTTATTAATGTTTTAATTTTAGCGCCACCAATTGTATAACAAAGAGTTTTTATTGTTTTCTTTTTTATCTTTTTAGTTTCGACAACAGTGATAACCAAAAATTACTTCGCAACGCATTTGAACGTTTAAAAGGATAGCATTAACTCTTTTGACTTATTAAAATTATTAATATATAAAAAACTATTAATATAACTCATTCACCGGTCCAGCTTATGTGAGTCACGTGAACGTCGAAGTTAAACGTATATCCTACGGTTTCCGTTAGCGCACATTACCGCATTTCATTAAAATCGATTACTGTCCTGAATCTCGTGACTTCGTAAAGAATTTAAATCTTGCTGGCTTAACACCTTAGAAGTTCTCCTTTCACGATATGCGTGGTCGTCAATACTGCTGTAAAACTGCTGAAACCGGTTATATAATATTTAACGTCGTCTCGTAAAGGCTATGAGTTGGTCACGGTCAAGTACAACGGGAGAGTGCGTCAGTTGTTTCGTTACGTTACGGCGAGGATGGTTTAGGTGGTGGAACCGTGGAGTTTAAAATTTACAAACTGTCAAATTATCACATAAAGCATTTAAGAAGAGGTTTAAATTGGTAGGAAACAATCATCTTTCGAAACAGGCCAATAAGAACGTCATACTTCTGTTTCAGTATTTGATGTGCTTCACGCCGGGCACGAAGTATGCAGCGGAGGAGTCCTGAATACAAGTAAGTAAATTATAAACCTTATTTTAATGTTATATATAATATAATTGAGGTCATATATCGGAACCAGTCCAATAAAACGTTTATGTTTGGGAGCTTTACCCATCTTCGCTTTACTATACTTGATGCAAGCAGCCACACATCAACTTTCAATTTCTCCGTTCTACCCAATATGCTTTTGGGGCCTTCCTGTAATTATTTCTTAACTCGTTGTACATTTGTTCAACCCAACTTCATGCATAACAGCATGCAAATTTGGATCTTCTTACTAGGACTCTTATTGTCTAGTGGATTCTTCCAAAATTTATACTGAATTCCCAATTTATCGTCGATTCTATTTTGTTCTATTATCCGTGTTCGTCACAATATAATCATAACTGGCCAATATTGTATATTTCTATGTTGAATACGTATACAAGGTACAATTCAAAAGTTCCAGGACTTTTTAAACAACGCGGCTTATAGTGGCGCCATCTGTCTGAAATTGTTATCCCCCAATTGTGTATTCTTCAGTGTTGTCGTATAAAATTTATATAACAGCTGACTTGTATAACAGCTGAGATATCGCGCTACATGTGACATTACATTTGTAGTGTCGGTCGGAAAATGAGCATCGAACATAGAGCCAACATTAAGTTTTGTTTTAAACTTGGTAAAACTTTTACCAAAACTCATCAAATGATGAAACAAGTTTATGGCGATGATTGTCTTTCCCATAGCTGTATTCACGAGTGGTTTAAACGTTTTTAAGAGGGACGGGAGGACTTGGAAGACGACGAACGTTCCGGCCGGCCAAAAGATGTTGTGAACAAAAAAAACACGGAAATTGTGCGGGAATTCATTAAAAAAGAGCCGAAATCATCGCTTAAATATATGGAATCGGAATTATCAATATCCGCAGCGTCGGTTTTTGCTTATTTTAACAGAAAATTTAGGCCTCAGATAGGTTTGTGATCGATTTGTCACGCGTCACGCGAAAAAGACCTCAGAATTCAACATTCAATTTGACCAAAAATCGCATTCATATCATCAACCATTCACCCTATTCGCCTGATATGGCACCCTGCGATTTTTATTTGTTTGGAAAACCACATTTGGCCATGAAAGGAAACCGCTATGCTGACGTTGATGCCATCCAAAAGGCGACGACCGCCATCCTCAACGCTATACCGACAAATGACCTAAAAAAGTCATTCGATAACCTTCTTGAACGTGCAAAACGTTGTATTCAGGCGGAAGGAGACTATTTTGAAGGCGACCAATAAATTTTTCCAAAAAAAAACAAATAATATTCGTTGTTTAATAAAAGTCCTGAAACTTTTGAATTGCACCTTGTATATACTTTATTTATTGGAATTGGGAAGATGATTGGCATGAAGACAATGAAACTTATTCGAAAAGAGAGCTCTGTGAAGGGAAAAAGCTTTCTTAACATAATATTGTGCATATTGCATATGTGGAAAATTTTTGCTATTGGCAACAAACCATCAACATTGCACTGTAATAGTGGCCAGTCCTAAAAAAGAGTCTAAACTTAATGGTATGAAGACTTTTATTGCCAATCAGCTGACACCGATCTTTAGCAATATATCTGTAATTCAAATGTTATTCAAAGCTGTGATTGGTTTCTTATAACTTTCAAATACTTACATATTATTTTATTATGCGTTAAATTAAATTTCAACATAATTCTGTTACAGGTATCAAGACAACACAATCATTTTGATTGGTTACATGAACGTTTGGTGGAGAATTTTTTCCTCATTCCCATGCCACCCTTGCCATATTTCTGGATGTTACAAAGAACAACTTGTGGAGCATAGACGGGTTCAATTACAAGAATATGTAGATTGTGTCATCCGGTACTCCCACAATGTGAAGTGTGGCATCATTTCTTGACTTATATCGATGACAAGATACGGAAATCAGGCAAAAGGAAAGCCGAACTTGACACATATATATGAAAGACTCTTATTGTTGCGCCACATCACCGCCTGAAAACACAATTCGGTACGAAATCTCTTAGCAATATCCAATTACACGGAGAAACGTTATGTCGGATTTGGCAAAGGCCTTAAATATAGACGAGCGTCTTGCACCCTCAAAAGCAACAAAGCTTTCGGAAAGTGTTGGGCGCTTCGGTGGTATTTTCATTAGTATTGGCCAACTATTTGTTTGGATATCTACAGGTAATACGACACGAAAGTAAATATCTGTTTAGTTACATAGAAATAAGGAATTAAATGAAGGGGCCTTGAGCCTACCTTGGAAATACTACAAAAACCGAAATTTCAGTATCTGCTTTCTGGTATTAGAATAAATACTCTACGGTTATCGTGATTGCATTTAAAATCTTGTTTTGCTTGTTCCTTGCGTTTGCCACTTTCTAAATCACTTATCAATCTTTTTCATTACCTACAAATATATACATACATACGTGCATACAACTTTCTATATGTATATTTATACCTAACGGCCGCATTTTCTATGTATTTTTTATTTCAGAGGCATCCTCAACAGTTTTCCTGACATTCTCTCAACACCCAAAGGTGCAATTCAAAAACGCAAAGAACACGAACGTTTAACCTCTGAGCAAAAGATGAGCAATGCATAAATAGTTGTTCCCCTCGAAATCTACAATACTTACTTTTCGCTGGTTAAAATTAAGAGACCTTTATTTATAAGAGAAAAAATTAACAATAACGGAATGAACAAAATTATCCGTGTTACTATATAAAGTGCTCTGAAAACTGACGAGTTATAAAAAGATAAATAGGTATTTTATACATTTACTAACGTAATATGAGAGCCAGAAATTTATACTTAAAATACGCTTGGGTTGAGTACTTCAAATCTCAATAATCTACTTGTTTTTGTTTAAAAATAGTATTATATTTTGTTGACGTGTTTAGCCTTTATTATTGGTTTTCTATCTGATATTAGCTATCCAGCCTGGCTAAACATTCTCTAAAATTAATTAACGTGATATTCGTTTATATGCACTGTAAGCAGACTAATGCCTCTGCCGATTGTCAAAATGTTCCTCATGACGGAGGGTTACTCGCCAACTTAAGAGGATCTCACCTCAAACAAATTATAAGCGGATTTCACCAGAATTTTACCCCTGCGGAGCGCAAAATAACAGAATTAAGCATTTTGAATGTTAAATGAGAAAAATAATGCTAAATTCAATGTTAAGAAATGTACGCTTACAGATTCGTATATTTACAATGCAAACGACTTTGCATATAATTTTAAGATATTCTGCATATACAGCGGCTCACGAATCGCTACAAAATTAACCGTATTAAGTTTCTTTTTATCAATTTTGTTGTATTGTATAGAAAATTTAATTTTATTTTATACAATTAATTATTCCTCCATGCTTAGCCACGCATATGCGACACCTAATTAAAATTAATGCGGGCTGAAAGGTTGAAGTCGGATTCATTAAATATGTATTTAAGGACTGCTTCAGTTCAGTCAAATTTTGGTTTGATTTTACTCCTCTTTGACATAAACTCATAAGAAAAGACCAAGCGGTCAGATATTCTTATACATATATATATGTATAATTATGTGTGCATGTAAACAAATATGAAATTACCCATTATAATTTTAATTTGCCTATACGCAACGTATGTATATAATATGTACACTTACTATGTTTCATGGGAAAGCAGAACCATACACACTCTAACAAACATACATCGCATATGAACAAAATCAACCATTATTCATATACAACGTGGCACGTAAATGGAAACAAAGTCAACAAATTATGCATATATACGGACAGATTGTGTACAAAAATTCAAATAAGTGCCAAAGATCCAGATTTTTGTCTTTGTGGTATAAACGATTGTGTACTTAAGGATGGTACCAAAAATAATTTCTATGTATTTAATAAAAATATACCTTTTCCTTAAAAATTAAAAACAAGAGATGCAGCAAGACACAGCAGATAAGAGGGTTGGAGTAGATACTTAACCGGGTTTACTGTACATAAATCAGAGGAATATTAGATATTTTCTTTAAAAAGTTTCTTAGATTTAAATCAAACAAATACTATGTTGTCACTTTTATTATAAAATATTTTAATACTCATATTTGAGGGGTTGTCACTTTTCCCTTCTAGAGGAATATCAGAAATTTGTTCAATTTATGATTTTAGCTTTGCCATCGTCGTGAAAAGACGCTTTTGAAAAGCCGCTCGGGATTGAGAATCTGTTTTATGAATGAAGCAGGTTTGTTTAAAGTACGCCTGCGTTCATGAATAAAAATGTTGTTGTTGTGTATTTACTATAAATTTGGGCTTCGCCTATTTTTGACATATTGACTTGTGACGATTTTTGTTTTGTAGAACAATGTTTGTAGTTTTGCGGTGACATATTTACATGTACGCACACACATATTAGGTTGGTTTGTGTATGCATTATTTGTTCGGCAATTTTATGTAGATATATGCGTGTACATATAAATCAATGCGCGCACATATAGTGTATTGATAAGTGATAAAATCATGATTTGACTTTCTGAATGCGTACATTCATACATAATACATACATATGACTATATAAGATTAATATGATAAAGATGTACATACACATATATTGTAATAAATTTAATCTCTATTATTATAATATTAAATATTTATTAGGAATGTATTTAAGGTAAAACTAAATAATATTAAATCCCAAATTGATTTAAATATTATTTCGAAATTTCATAATTTAAAAGATCTTATCAGTTTTGCATCATTCAAAATTCGCAAAATGATATTCATATGAATAAATATGATTGCATATAAACGTATAAAAATATAAGCCAAAAGGCTAACATGCTGCTGTAATATCAAAGCAAGTCTCTGCATAATTTTCAGACAATCTCAGCTCTGTTTACCACTGTTAAATTTCTCCTTCACCAGATGTGGTGAAATCCACTATTAAAATCTTTTAGGTTTTGACAATTCACACGCTGGTCCGCAATTACGTTCTCTGTATCGAGACCTTATTATGTACAGCTTTGCGATCAGTTGTTCCGATTCCCTCTATTTCCGTGCAGCCTATTTTATTAAGAATCAAAGATATGTGCTTATAAACGGTGTGATTCAATTTTTCTACAGACTGTTGAGACATTGTGCTATGTGGTCATTTGGTATTCTAATGTATCTAAGTCCCTTTTGTGCGTATTAGCGCAACACATTTAGAGATGGCATTCCAATTTAAGTGAACATTATAGACTCTAACGCTGTGTCTGCGTTACCAGTGATTTTTACGAATATTATGTAAACTACCAAAGTACTTTGCTATACCAACTGTGTGTTCGTATGTTTTAATATTCTTCTTTTCTTCCATAGACCAAACTTGGCGGGTCACCGCAAATTCCTAAACTTTTACATTATCGGCTACTTTTCCTAATTTTCCTAAGGTGCTCTTGTCAATTCCTTGACATTCTACATCAGTAAAGTGAAATTTTGAGTTTGAAACTGTTGTAACAAGATTATAATTGTTCAACTAAGTTGAAGAATTCTAACTTCCTCAAAGAAATTATTGTTTCGCTTTAATAATTTCTATAAATATTCCATCAAATATAAATTTATTAAATGTTTGATAATAAGAATAGTATATAAATGAAAATTTACATATCGATAACAACCAAAAATATTGTATCAATCGTTTTAACCTTAATTTTCTTTTCATTTAATTGGTTTATTATTATAAAAAGTTTTTTGGCGCTAAAGTTTTCACAAAGGCAGTGGTTTTATATTTATCGACTTACGACCTTTTAAAATTGTTCAATATTTGTTTTAATTTTAGATGCACTTTAAATCTGAACCTGATTTATTTATTTCTTTAATATTCAAAAATTTTGTTTGAAATTAGCTTTTAATTATATATTTGTTTTATAATTATTTTACTTAAATTCTAACTTACATTAAGAATTTGGTGTGTCGCTCCTCCTGCTAACTCAGTTTGTCCCTTTGCTACTAGGGATCCTGCAGCTTTCACAAATGTAAAGAGTGTCCTACGTGCCAATTGGACAAGTGCAATCCACCTATTGAAGTTGAATTTAAAATTTTCTAAATCGACTTAATTTTAAAGAAATTATTGTATCCTATATTGAGTGCGAATTGTGACTGAACAATCTTTCTTAAATTTATCCTAAACCAGCTGTGTGTCATCGACACGGCAGCGAATTATTGGCGAAAATTGGTTTTGCAATGAATATTTCTATTTTAAGATAAATATTTTTCTGTGACTTATATAAATACCAGAAAACTGAAGGGCGCACCGCTACAAAAGTAAACTTCATCTTACTTGTGTATAATATTTTCTTACTTATGTATACAAAACGATCAGACAAAGGAGTAAATCGCTCAATACTTTCAAAACTCTACAATCAATTACAAGGTGCACTTTCAAAGTTATTTTTTTGAAAATTTATTGGTCGCCTTCAAAATAGTCTCCTTCCGCCTGAATACAACGTTTTGCACTGACTTAGGTCATTTGTCGTATAGCGTTGAGGATGGCGTCGTCTCTTTGATGGCATTAACGTCAGCATCCATATCAGCGAATAGTAAGAAGTTGATGATATAGATCGATTTTGGTCAAATTGAATGTTGAGTTCTGAGTCTTTTCGTGTTGTTTCAAAGTGTGCGGACAAATCAGCACAAACCTATCTAGGCATAAATTTTCTTCAAAATACGATAAATCGACGCTGCGGAATTGTAATTCCGATTCCATATATTTACGCGATGATTTCTCTTTTAATGAATTCCCACAATTTCCGTGTTTTTTTCTACAACATCTTTTCCCGAACGTTCGTCGTCTTCCAAGTCCTCCCGTCTCTCTTAAAAACGTTTAAACCACTCGTGAATACAGCTATGGGATAGAAAATCATCGCATATAAACTTGTTTCATTATTTGATGAGTTTAAAACAAAACTTAATGTTGCTCTTTGTTCGATGCTCATTTTCCGACCGACACTACAAATGTAATGTCACATGTAGCGCGATATCCAGCTGTTATACAAGTCAGCTGTTATATAAATTTTAAACGACAACACTGAAGAATACACAATTGAGGGATAACAATTTCAGACAGATAACTAAACGTTGTTTAAAAAGTCCTGGAACTTTTGATTGTACCTTGTATGCGTAAATTCTCAATATGGCTAAATAAAAACATGAGTAAGTAGAATTGTTAAATATAAACAAATCACATTGAGCTAAGTAAGTAATTTATAATAGTAAAATTAGCTACCAATAAGTATTTGCTAGCGTTTTGGATACATGAGTAAGCATTAGGTATACTCTTTGTTGCAGTGCACCGCTACAGTTAATATTTTGTGGGCTATTGATAGATGGAAATAATCATACAAGAAACGCATCTGGTAGATATATTCAGGCTAAGTAGCCTTTAAAAATTTCATAGAGTTGACAAAATGTAAGAGAATAATGGGAAAAGAAAAATCTACTTAAATGCAAATAAAAATATATGTTGATATCTCTCTATTATATAAAAGTTGTCTGCTGCTGTCGAGAATCAACTAATAAGAGCAAGCTAGCTCGCGCTCGGCGGCGGACGTAGGCAGGCAGGCAACGAGAGCGTCCCAAGACAGAAGGGCGCCTATATACTATTATAATTTTACGGAATTGCAAGTTATCAATTCGATATTTAAATATGTGATATTTACATATCTAACAATTACCATTAAAATACCGAGAGTGTTGCTGTAGTAAGAGCAATTAAGATGTAAGTAAAGTTTTAAACTGGAAACATGTAATAAGTGTTAAGTTGTTGGAATTAGAAATAAAAAATTTGTAGCATTAAATTGGGACTTTTTTAATCCAGTGTTCGAACTCAAGAAGTGGGCTTGAATAAATTCCCATAGAGTATTATTTTAAAATGAAAGTTTAACGAAGATTCCACAACTGAAAAAGAGCTGGAAAACGTGATTTAGCATCAAATGGAGTAAAGCCAGATTCAAACACGGTTACGAGAGGTTATGGAAGCAGAAAACATTAATGTTGACAGATATGTGTTTAAATTGGAATTA